CCCTCGGCCCAACCCTCACCCCCACCACCACCACCACCACCACCATTACCACTGCCGCCGCTGCCGCCGCCACCGCCGCCACCACCACGACCACCGCCACCACCGCCACCACCGCCACCACCGCCACCACCACCACCACCACCACCACCACCACCACCACCACAGTTGCTCCTGGCTCTGCTACTTGCTACTTCTCGCTGCTTGTTGCTTCTCCTCCGGCTGCTGCTGGTCACTGGTCCTCTTCCTTCTGCTGCCAGGATCGGCATCGTCATGACGCCACTTGGTGCTGCCACCTACAATTATGCTTCCGAACTGCGTTGCTATGTTTCTATCACGTCCTCCAACTTGTGCCTTGAAAGGAAACCCAAGCACTTTACTGCACACAAAATAATTCATGTGCTAGCAGCAGCAACTGGGGTGTTCCAAAATCAAAGGTCCCTTCTTGGGAGTCCCTATAGCGCAGATTATGGTATTTTGCAGTTATATCAGGCGGTGATGTTCGAGGACCGCCTTTTTGAAAAAAAATCACGCCTGAACCCGAAGCCCCAGGTATTCGGGAATTTGCTAAGCCCTTGGAAATATGCCCTCTGCAAGAAACTGCAAACACTGAGATGTCGAAAAGCTCAGGTAAATTGCTTGACCCAAGTCTGTCTGAACTTTGCATGAAAATGAGACCTCCGCTGCATGCCACGTCGCGTCATCAGCGCGAACTACACGTCATGTCTGCTCTGCTGCTCTAGAAACCAGTCGCGGAAGTGAAGTACAGAAGAAGGTTTGAGCCCTGGAGTTTGGTGGATATGACAATCGGCAGAAGAACTAATGAAGACCAGGCTGCAAAGTAGACCTGAAGTAAGTCTGGGCAACTCCTGGGCAAAGACCAGAAAATGCAAATTCACAATGACAATGGATGCTGGAGTCATTGTCGTGAGTGGAAGAGTCATGAAAATCTTCTGCACACTCAAGCAAGTTTTGTTTCAAAATTCTTCTGGCTCTAGGCAATCTTCGCATGGAAGGATGGCTGTGCCCCGTTGAGAATACATGCCATCCGTCTCAACCGCGGTCATTTCTTCAGGGCCTCCCCTCCTGCATGAGATGCACTGCTACAACAAACCCCAGAGTTCCTCACACATCTGTATGCACATGTGACACATACGCACACCAAGGCTATGCACAACATACACGCAACTACAGCTGTGCTATTTAGAATCAACCCTCATCGTTAACAACTAAGTTCTAGCACAAGATCAACTTCCACCCCGAACCACTCCGCCATAAACCCTTTAATCAGGGCCAAAGTCTAGTCCCCAGCAAACCTGAAAAAGGGGCTGGATGTCTTTAGTCAGAATTGAAACCAATATGTCTCCTCACGTGCTATTTCAGGTGTTGGCCGCATTAACATTTAACACAAGACCCTCAGGCCAGAATCTTGTGCGGCCTGTCCTTGCCCCATAGCGAGGGCGAACTTGTCGTTCACGCCCGCACATGGATTGCACTCGGGCACATACAGCCTCGGGATTCTGCGCATTCTTACCTGGAAGAAAGTTTTGGCCAGTAGGGGTTTCTCTGAAGTTCTCCCAGACTGCCTCGAATGAATGAAGAAGCCAAGGCAACAATGCCCCTTGCATAAGTTTATTGAGGATGCCTCTTTCATGGAAACCACATGAGGGTGCTGTGGATGATTGGGAAGTAAACAGACCCACGGAGCAATGATCTCCTTGGGCTTGGGCAGTGCTTGACACGCTTGACCAAGTACTTGGAGGGTCAGGGAGACTTCGTAAGTAGGTTAATAACCCCTATACCCCATATAGTAAACCCATTTATCCCCATTAAAAACCTACTTACTAAGTCCCACTCACTGACCCCCCAAGTAGCCATCTTTTGACAGCCAGGTCACGTTTTGTCCTGCAGCAAGGCAGGTAGCCTGAAAGGCTCCAACACAGCATCATCATCTCCTGCGTTGCAGACACGTGGAAGTTGCAACACGAAGTAGTGAAGTTGGGGATCCTAGCGTGGTGTGAGCTATATGTGCCATCGCACGTTCCGAACATCTGTCCTGTTTTTTCACACACACTTGAAGCATTAAAATCCCGCAGAAGTTCAATCCGAGAGGATGCCAAACCCTTACATCCCCAAAGCTTGAACTCTCAAATCTACGATGCTTCACACGTCCAGCAGACTTTACAAGCTTGCAGACCTTTGCATGTTGGTTTTGGGGCAGGTGTCCGAAGCCTGGGCTTTTTGCAGTGTTCTTTCAAAGCAGATGACGAACCTACACTCGCGCTACAACCGCTGTACACAGGTGATCGTGAGTTGTTTTGAGTGCATTGAAAACCAAATTCAGAAAGTCGTGATCAGACGTCTACTGCGATAGGTCGTAGGGCCTACGTCATAGGGCCTACGTTGTAGGGCTGTCAAAGATGACAAGAGCCCGGCGACCGCAAAGCTCTGTGACGTAACAGTCATGATGATGTAACCTCATCAGTACCCCCAAAAAAAAAGATAGCGCAGGAACACCGATGCCCATCGCCATGGCGAGAACAAGAGAAAAAGAAAGATGATGCTATATTATATACTATGTTCTATAATTTCTATAATATTCTACATTGATGGTCTACGAAATTCTGTTATTTCGTATTAGTATATAAGAAGCATCGCGCGAGCAGACCTTTGATCTGCCAAGGAACGCAGTCTCATCGTGTACTTGGCATCGGGCCAGGGGAGCTGACTGCAGCGGTCTAGGGTCTCCCACCTTTAGCTGAAGCTGGAGTGGGGCCTAAATACTCAAAGCAATAGCATTTAAAGTGTAGGGTCTACCTCTGAGGACTCCAGGTGTTTAAACACACGAAACCCGCCATCAACTCCAACAAAGGGAGATGAGGGTGTACCTAAGGTGTACGTCATCTTGAGAGCTTTTGACCTTCCATGCCAAAGCTCGAAGACTAGCTACTTGCAAGAGCTGCATAATCCTTTGCAAAAGAAGAAGGGGTTCTGGTCAAGCTCTAGCAAGAATAGTAGTAATGCTAACGATGCTACTAACTACTCTCATGATGATACAGAAAAACTTACGCCTGTCTCGAGGCTGTCCGGCTGCTTTAGGCTCTGATGACTGTATTTCTGCTGGAGAATGGCTTAACACTGGAAGATCGCATATGTGCTTGCAGCCTCAATGTTCGGTGTGCCTTTGAGGGATTGCGCATGCTTTTTATGTCTTGATGCAAGTCCCGTGACCATCCTGCTTCGCCCATATGGCTCCTAGTAGAGGTTACCGGTTACAACATCAGAAGGTAACAATGAAACGGACACTACCTGTATTCATATTGATACTGACTGGAATTCGCACGTAAATACAAAGCAATCTAGACAGTTGCAAAGATCCTGGTCTTTTTATTTTGTCTTGCAGCACCAGCAATTCTATAAATAACCCACGCACGTACATTGACACTTCCTGGGACTCTCTTAGACTCATAGGATCTTTGGCAGTCTTTGGACCCGAGCTTTGGTGACTTGCTGGGAAACGTCGAAAGCTTGGCAGTGCGTTAAATCTTCGACAAAAAAATCGTAATGAGTTGTCACGGCCCTTACCACTTATCATGGCACCTATTCTCAAGTGACGAATATCTAGCGCACAACTTAATATGCTATTCCCACCGCTACCAAGAAATCGAGAAACCATGACCGAAACCCCAAGCGTTCGACTCTTCAGACTTACAGCACCGCCGAGTAACTGTCGCATGTGTGACGCGGCCCTTCGGCTTGCGAATCCGGGTCCCTCCTCTTGGTTGGCTTGATACCTCGCACTGCTTCCAATGCCCGTCCTTTACCAAAAAAAAGGCAGGGTGTTATTCATCCCTATCTAGTGTGTGCGGCGCATGCCTCCTTAAGACGAAGTTGCTGGGACGCACGCGGAAGTGACCAGTGAACTCGTAGGACCCAGAACCCAAGGTGCCACTGATGAAAGCTGAGGATAAAGGGCTCGAAGTCACAAGGGCTGAGGATGTGTGGTCGGATGAAACGCTGCTCAGGGCTGACTAGGTGGCATTTGTTCCTTCCCGTGAACTTGATCAGAACTTCTCGACCCACCACTACATCTATGGCTTCAGGTAAACCCATCTCAGCAGGCGTTGACAAAACAAATTTCAATGACAAGGAGGCATGTCATTTCAGCCGCAAGACTCTTCAAAGCCTTGGCGCGTTAGCACGGCTTTGCACATGAAATCCAGCAAATGTAAAAATGTGGCTTTCGATCTTCAGGCAGATCTGGCTACAAATTTGACTGACGTGGCGCGTCTACACCCCAGCGTGAGAGCGCATCGCCGCAGGAATCAACGCTTTATGATTCCGATTTGGCATTGGCCTGCACGATTCTGCCATGCAAGCTCTGGTCTGCAGAGCTCCAGATTCCAGCTTAAGAATTTTCACTACAGAATTAGCTACACCCTTCTGGATTGGACTACTGATTCCTGACCGCCACCCCATGGTCTACTTCTGACCAACATACTTCTGACCAACAAGGAGAGAACCTCTGCACTTTATTGCAGGTTCGTTTACCATGAGATGTTAGAGGGTTGCGGTGCAAATGCTTCGGGCCGTTCGTGGGCAACAACATCTTGAATCGAAAGTCCCAATATGTAAACAGCTGCGAAACGCCGTCTTAGGGTGATCAGGATGACAAGCTCATGAATGCACAATGCGAATTGCGAACTATGTTCAGCACAGAGCTCTCTGCTACCATACCGGGATGGCTCACAGATGTGAGCCCCTAGGTAGGGGGCTCTAGGGATACTTCGGGATGATCATGAGATTGCCAGGTTCCTCGTGAAAGCTTATTGATACTGAAGGCATGTTGAGAGACACGCCCACACGGAGAAATTGTGTGTAACGCAGGAAGTGCGCAGTTCAACACGGAACAGAACATGCACACTACAAAACAAATACCACTACCCACAGGTCGCAAACAGAAGAATTCAACCTCCTGAAAATGCCTCAAAGTCTGGACCCCCTCATGGAAGTATTGGCTCGCAGCTCAGGAACAATGCTTGGACATATCTTTCGTCCACTGGGTAATCTTTCGGAATGAACGGATCACCAATCAAGTAAATGGAGCTTGGAAACCTGAGTTGTGCAGTCTGACTGATTATTACTATCCAGGATGTCAAGGGTGCACAGTGATGCACAACACAGATCAAAGAGGCGGACCACATCAAGTGTCAACCAGAATGCCCTGTAGCAAAAACACCGTACTCTTGACAAGTTTTTCCTTGCGTGAAACTAACTCCCAACCCACACGAGCACTTTTGTGGATGTGGTATACCTCCGAAACTCAAACCTCCCCAAGCACAAAGACACGACATGCCGGCCGCGCATGATGCTGAACTGGACAAGTCACCCACTCGGCCTGTGACAGAACAACCTGGCTAACCTATGTTGAGATCATCCCAACAAGTGGCATCTCTGCAGCTTGCTGTAGAGTTGAGAAGTTGCCGTCCACCACCTGCAGAAAGCTGTGGCAGTTGGCTGGGAGTTTGGGGCTTGGAGTTGGAAACAAACTAAATGTAAATGAGGCTTTTCTGGCCTGGAGTGATTACATGGCCTGAAGTCCAGCCTTCATGAAGCGCTTGTGGTGTCTTTTGCTTGCATTTAGGGGCATTCAAGCATGACTTCTTCTCTGAATGTCATGTGAACGTGTGGTGCTTAGAATCTGTACAAACACAACACCTCTCCTTGTGAGCCTCATACGAGTAACGCATGAAGGCCCGAAGCCGGTTCCTGTTTAATGCTGGCTACACAGACATCACGTCATGAGAAAATGGCAGTCATATCTGTAGTTACACGGTGCATGAGGCAAAGTCAGAATGCGCCCGGGCTAAAGCCAAAGGCACAGCAAACATGAGCTCCAAGTGTGCTGGCTTCCATACTTGAAACTTCAATGCATGGGAACCTGAACTGAATCTCAAGCCCGGATAATACTCCTCGTCCGATTACCTCTACTGCTACAGTTGCAACTACTGCCAGTGTGGCTGAGACTACTGCAGCTGCCATGCTGCTATTGAGACGGGCTGCGGGCGGATGCTGCTGCAGCAGCAAGAGCTAATGCTGTGATTACTGCCACTGCAATGAAGATCACTCAAAGTTCCTGCGCGATCATCACTAGTTCGAACCAAACCGGGCGCATGACCCTGCGAGACGACACAAATGCCAAGATGCCGTGTAGTTGCTGAACTGCTCTCCTGTTCAAGGTGATGGCAACCGCTTATGCAGCTTGCTGTCAGATCAGTACACCAAGCAATTCGATGCGAATTCTTGTGATAGTCAAGCTTTCTCTTGGATGTGACAGGAATCCTAAAGCAGAATCCTAAAGCAGCCATGGGTGACTATGGGACACGTAGATCAGCGTTTAGGGCGAGCGAAACTGGAAGGGCAAAATTCAAATCTAAGAACTCCAATATGACATGCAGATATATCCAACAATCCCACGATAAGTAGCTTTTAGAAACCTCAGCTGCGGCCGGAGTGCGGTGGACATAGCAGCTGAATCTCAATCCATATTTCTACAGTCTGCAAAAGTGGATACTCTATGGAATGGACATGATTCTGGTTTGCGCATGGATGCTCTTGTGGGCGCATGCTCTCGGGATACATGGACGAGCGGTTTGGGCATGGATGCTCCGCGCATCAAATGCATTTGCAGTTTGTAATCCCTCCGAAACCACCATCTAGCATTATGAAATACAGCAGAATAAGACGGCGCCCTACAGCGTGACTACCGGTTCTATTTATTCACCATTGCAAGACAACTTGTGATGACAGGAATGGGCTGAACATTGGCCACAAGAGCCATCATGAGACTCTTAATACATACAATGCAAGAAAAGATGCCTTGACTAGACACATTCAGACTGACATTGAGGCACGAAGCAAGGCCCTCACTGCACAACATGGGTCACAATACAATCCCCCTGCATCCTCCCTCCACAGCCCTCTCGTACCTCCCGCATATGATCCCTTCTCTACAGCCTCATTGTCAACTATTTTGTAGGCACAAGTTTCGAGATCGTGGAATGATTGGTTTGAAGCGTTTGGGGGCTTTGAGGGAGACTATTCTGATAACCTAGAGCAGCTCTTGTATCTCGGCTGGCCCACTAGTTGGATTTTGGCCGTGTGGAAAAAACTACTTCTGCAATCATTTCTTAAAGTTTTCAGGGCTTCATGTTCTCCAAATCTATACCCTGGCGGAACAAGATTGTACATGCAAATGACTCTGCACTTCCCCCAGCTTTGGGGCAACATTCTCACACTCCAAACTTTCTCCCAAACACTGCCAAAGGTAACTTCTGATGGAGACTCAACCTTGGCATGCCCCGTGGCAGCAAGGGGGAGTTACAATTCGAAGCCTCCGGATGCGGGAACATGGCAATGCTTTCACCCAAGCGGTATCACGTAGGTGGACCCCCCACCCTGCAATAGTGACAAAATCGGAATATTCGAGGACACCATCATCCGTTCTCGTCGATGTTACTGAGTGGGGGGTCCCCCTAAGGTATCACTCAAGCTGGAAAAAGACAACCCAACCATGGTGGCGTGCCGCCCTAGAGGTCATCCTATACATCCTATTAGTGTGAACCAGTTTGGAGACTCTGTGGACTGTGGACCCCAGTCACAAATCCTGCCGGCCGATTTATGTACTTGGGCTCCGGTCGTGGATCCAGAACCTTGGAAATTTATAGGACTTGACCCAAGCATGGCACACAAACTCAAAGACAAAACACATGCAGAGTGGTAAAGTCATATCAAAAGCATCCTTGCGACAGCAACGGCATTCTAAGTCGTCGTAGCGTCTGCCAAAGTGAGATTATTCGTAGTCGTAATTTCCACTGCACCTGCTGTTGTTAGCGCTGTTCCTGCTGATGTTGCTGCAGTAAATGCTGCGGCTGCTGCCGTCGTTGCTTGTTGCATTAAGTGTTGCTGTCACGGTTCATGGTACTGGACACGCGTGCACATTACCAAGACAGTGCGGCCGCTACGGCTCCAACTGCGCATATCTCCCACAAGGATCTCGACAAACTAAATGGCACCATATCTAACTGTGACTTTACGATTGGGCTTGCGGCAAACTCCATCAAGCCTGAGAAAGTCAAAACAGAACAAGCAAGGAACTATGCCTGCCCAACAGGCATCATGAAGACAATCTCGTGAGATTGTACAATTCACACTGCAGGGCGTGGATCGTCACAGTTTGTTGAAGGCTTTTGGGCAACCTGCATGATCGCTTGAGATGCTTTCATACTGCCTGTTTTAGATGTCCCATGGGCTGTCCATTCAATCTAGAAACTGCCTGCCTGCAGGTGTGTCATTCCATAGCACGAATCCTGGGGGCTGAGCAAGCTGTGTTCCTTGTTTGTTGAGAGTACTTGTTGATCATGCAGGTATGAAGACAACCTGCCAAGGGCACTTTTGCACACGTGCACAGGCCACCTTGCACTTGACGTGCGGCGGATGATCAAAGCAGCCCGAGCTGTCTTTTCAATGCGTCGTGCAAAAGACACATGCCCAAGACGGCTTCAAAGCCAACCACCAAGTTCTATGTTGACAAGAATTTTGACAAGAAGCTAGTGCCACCAGCACAGTGAAGCCCGAGTTGGCAAGAGGAAGGAAGAGGCGATCTACCTTCACCGGGAGGCATCGTTCAAATCTTTGTTGATACCTTACAATCTTGCAGGGAAGAGAGGCTTGCCACATCACAGTCTAATAGATGCCCCTAACTTGGGCGAAAGATTCTGAAAAAACATGTGCTAAACTCCGTCATGTTCACATCACCTGGCAACAAACCCTTGGGGGAGGTCGCAGCAAAAGCATGAAATTGTTGCTGAATCCTTCAAATAACCCTTATAAGTTACAATAACGAGAGAGAGGGCAGAACACTTTATTCCCGCAGCAGCCTGGCTATGTGGTCATTCTTGGTTCTGCTATCATCTTTGGGTCGGGGATCGCACGAAGATTGCTTGGTTCGCATCAGGTATTGTGAAAGCCATGCCAGAAAAACAAACGAAGAAGTGCAGGCTCTGACTACGGGAACACAGAAATCTGATCTAGTATAGCCGCATCAAAGACCTGTATGGTAGTTTCCCTAAACGAGGGGACCCCAATATAGACTCCCAATATACCATTGTCCTGATTATGGGAACCCCCAAAAGGGTACCCCTAATTTTGGGAAACCCACGTATCAACAAAACCAAACAAGGCTTGCCGGACTACAGAGATCAGTCAGGAACCCCCCACCCTGTAATAGTGGTATAATAGGAATATAATAGGACCCTAAAATAATCCTTATTATCCCTTATAGTCACTATTACAGGGTGGGGGGTCCACCTAAGACATCAGGCTCTCTCTCTGCCCAGGTCGGCCTTTGTTTTCAGCTCCAGCCGACGAATCTGTCCCGTGATGCAGATGAGGAAGTTCTCCTACAATATATACCCTATAACCCCTATACAACCTCTACATAATCCACAATATGTACCCTAATATATACCCTATAACCCCTATATAACCTCTATATAGTCCCTAGTAGTTTCCATTTTCTTTTCCATTATCCCAATATAACCCTAATATATACCCTATACCCAAGGTAAGGCACGACACGGCCAGCTTTGAAGGTGGTGGGCATCATGTTGATTGTGTCAGCAGTAGAAGTGGAAGCTTTCGATGACCCTGTGTGGCATTCAGAAGCACCTACCACAATCTGTCCGTGTACTCCCAACAAAGGCGAGAGCCAGAACCTTCAAGATTGGGCAGAGGATGGCAGAGGTTGGTAAAACCAGCTGAAGTGTCGCCAGTGCAGTAAAGGCAGTGCTTCTTGCACCGAAAGCGCCAAGCATGGAGTAAAAATAGCAGCTTGGATTGGAGCTCGTGCCAACAAATCACCAAAGCACTCCAAACCCACTGAATCATTGAGATCCTCACAGTGCGAACGCATATTTGAAAAACAGCCACTGCGAACCACATTTCAAAAAACCGAAGACCTCATTCCCAACCCTTGCGCAACAAAAAGCTTTGCAGACCTCGTCGTATCGGCTCTCTTCTCCACCGATGCGCGGAAAAAGTGGCATATATTCTGGTTTTGGCAGGCCTTGTTTGGCACCCAGGCTTCGATATTTCGGCTTTGGAACAAGGGCTCCAACCCACCAGCACTCTGCCTGTAACACGGAACCGACATCCAGAGCTCGGCTGGAAACCGCATCTACAAACTTTCCATTATCCCAATATAGCCCCAATGTATTCCCTATTATACTATAGTAGTTTCCATTTTCTTTTCCATTATCCCAATATAACCCCAATATATACCCTATAATACTAAAGTCCAGATACATCTTGCAAAGCTGGGCCCCAACTTCAGGCCTAAACCTTGGAAGAAGAGTCCTGGTAAACTACCATGATAACAAGTGCTTCACAAATGCAGCAAGCGAAGCTAAAGCAGGATCCTGTTTTGGGGATCACAAGGGCCCTAGTCTGGGAGGCTGTTAAGACATTGGGCACAGATCCAAGAATTAGTGAAGCTCAGCAGCCCAAAAAATCCACCAGCTTCGGCACGTCAACGGGACCCGCAAAAACATTGATCTCCTTCTACTGGGTTCTTAGACTGATTTGCTATGACATGGATAAATTGTGAAACGTTTCCTTACAACAGGTTTCTCAACAGCAACCCAGTCTAGCAGGTTGACAACTTCCGCTAGCCATACTCAAAATGCTGCCCCTGGCGGTGCGGGCTTCATAATCTGCAAAGCCCCGTTCTAGTGTTGTGTTTTTCCGTCGCAGTCTTCCTTGGGATGGACACTGCACAGCCCGTAGCTCCTCATGAAGCGCAGTGTGTTCCCGGTCAACGCATGCACATCATTGAAAATAATTGGCCATTTTTTAGAGAAGAACCATCTTTGTGGCTCGCCCAGCTGCTCACAGCCAAAAACAAGGTATCAGCTAGGTGCCCTCAAATGAAAATTCCACTGAAGTTGAGCTTGCCTTCGGGCACTGATGAGTAACAATAAATTCCACTGAAACTCCAAGACTTCAAAAGCCTGCACCTGCAAAAGAGCGTGGCAATTAACACTTTCCTATGGGTTCGTGTTGAAGGTTCTGAAGTGCAGGCACGGCAGGACCTATTTTGAGTTGCTCACAACAAAGCTCTCAGGACAGCTGTCCATCAGCTTGTCTGCTGGAACGATGCATCGAACCAGGCGTTCGTGAGCCTGCAAAGCTTCGTGGTATCAAGGTGCAAGACTGTCTTGTCCGACCATTTGATTGCTTGCCTCAGCTTGCTGTATAGACCTTAACTGAAAGACACCAAGAAAACAAGATGCACCAACAACACAAGGTTTCTGACAAAAGTGTGGGAAGCACCGGACAAGGCTTTTCCTTCTCAATGCTGAAAGGCATGATTCACGCACATAGGCACGTCTTGACACCAACACACCCGATGAGAGCAGAAAGTACAGCCATGCAGTGCCAAATCCGCAGGCTCCGCAGGCCTCGTACAAGCGCGCAGCAGCCTCCAAGTTCATTTCTGCAATTTTCCTTGGCATGCAGGCGTCACTCAAAATATTGGTGTGGAGCACTTTCTTGGGGTTGCACGAGAGCATGTCCTGACCTCTTGAACGTCCTACTGCCAAAATAGCACTTGCAGCAGCAGCAGCAGCAGCAGAAGGAGCAGCAGCAGCTACAGCATGAGCATCAACAGCAGCAAAAAAGCTTTAGGCAAAAACATGCGCAACACTGCAAACAGGACAACACATTGAGTTACACTGGCAATAGCTGTTGAAAAGAAGCAGGGTAAGAAGCATCCACAAGTAGTAGTGCCAGTGCGCAGGCGGTACTGGTATGGAGTCTCATGTGCAACGAATTAGGCGTACTGCACAGCAACACCAACAGAATAAGCCGCAAAAGCCATGGTAGAAATATTGATAACGATCCTAACCATTTTGATCTTGAAGCAAGATTAGAAATACTCGTGGTGATGGTAGTGATGGTGATGGTGGTGGTGG